AACATACACATTTAGGGGAGTATAAATCGCCATTGCAACTGTTTTAATGATTTGAAAAACTTGAACAAATCAAGACCCCAGCAATTATAAAAGAGTAGATTTCTATACATGAGTTCAGTTCAAAAGTAATAGGAGAATTTAGGAGTGCAATGGCAAATTGAAAACTCCTTCATAAATTTTTCAAAGTGAATATTTGAAATAAAGTACAAGAACTGTGTAGAGAAATAAACATCTACATCTACACCATCAAAAACACCTCTCAAATAAGTTAAAACAACAATGTGCGTCACTGCTTGTTACAAAATAGCGTGTGGTGTCCAGACCAGATGTTTCTATACACACAAATCCATTTTGATCAATGTGTCGGACGCTGAATAGAGGAAGAGGTGAGCGGTTTCGGTTACCATTTGGAGTTAGACATCAGCTGGACTAGCGGTATGACAAGTTTAATGGTAAATGGTAAAAGCACCGCAGGTTACTTACTGACCTTCACTGACTGTGACACAATAAACTGCAGGCCATGTCAGTTTATACACACACACACACAAACTAGTTTAGCATTTGAATAAATCTTGATTGAGAACACCACGAGTGACTTTCACTGCCTGTTTAAGAAGCCGCGAGACCATCACTGTGAGAAAACAAACGGCAGGCCGGCCAAGTTAGTTAGTTAGGAGGATCGTGATGAAACAAATTATAATAATGTGTTGTTTATCATGTTTATCTCCTGTTCCGGGCTTGGAGCAGCCACTCGACCTCCACGCTAAAGTCTTTAGTGTAGCTAACTAACACTATCTTTATTATTTCGTAATATGGGAACCCAAACCAATTGGATTGGATCGGTCCCATCTCTCATAAGTGCATAATTTACTACTGTTTGAGCAAATTAGCTAAAAACTACAGTTCCCAGCTGCAAATTGTTTAGCCTTTTTTTAATGAAAGTCATGTTTGTGACACATTTTGTTGGAAGTTGGAAAGCAGTGCGAGGCGATCAAAATTATTGTTGGTTGTTGTTTCTGAAATTCTTTGGACATAACAGAAAACTGCAATTTATCCCATGGTGACATTTTACTTAATCAAAAATGTACTTATAATTGTTGTTGGCCTTTGAAATGTCAAAAACAACAAGCACATTATATCAGCTTAGATCTCAAAGTCACGCAACAATTAGACCTCATCTGTAAAGTCAAGACAGTCATCTATAACATTACTTGAAGAATGAGGATCCAAAACAGATTACCACCTCACTGAGGTTTCCTAAGCTTTGGGGATATAGTTCATACAACAACCTGCAGATTGTGACATTCAAAATAGTGAAGTGGTTACAAGAGAAACACGAGGACTCAGACCGGACAATGTGACTGTCTGTAATAAATGTGCCTTACTATTACCTCAACAATTTCAGTTCTACGTTCAGTTTCCACGGAGGACACTCTTTGATTTAATACGTAGAAATACATGAATACACACAAGCTATAAAAACAGGAACATAGAGTTCCTCTGTACTATTTTTGGGACTTTCATGTTGTCACAAAATTAAATGTGTCTGTCTGTGGTTAGAGACTGAATAATAGAACAAGCCAAACTAAAATCGCTTACGTCATTCCTGATTTGGGATGTGCAGTTTTGACAGAGGCCACGCTTAAACTTAAACTCCTCTTGATTTGAAAGCAAACAGGACTATTGAGTTTGTGTGTGTGTATGTAAATGTACCGTATGTGGGATGGAAATACTCTGCTTTGGGGGAATTCAGTTCTCTAAATGCCAGATTTTTACATATAGTACGATAGGGGAACTCAGATTAGTGTTTTTATAACTAGATCATGCATGTAAGGCATGTTTTAGTAGAGGGAATTGTACATAGCCTTCATTAAATGTCATTGAGACAGACAAAGAAAGGTTTTACCCAAATGTGTTGTTTTACCGGAGTAACTCACTTGGTGCCCTTGTGGAGGTGGAGAGAGTATATAGTTCAATATTGTAGCCTACTGAAGTCAACGTTTACTCTTGTAAAAGTACTTTAAGTTAAAGTAAAAGGTAGGTCAGCTAAAGTGAGTAAACGTTGCTGCGTTACAATTTAAAATGGGGGGGGGTACATGATGTTATAGGATGCTACTGTTGAGGTAAAGAACATATAGGTTACAACATAGGTTAGTTGAGGTTAGTCCGGCCAGCGTGTCATTGTTGTTGTTGTTGTACTCACCTGATTGAACGGCACCGTGAAGTCCTCCATAATCTGCTCCTGGTTCAACTTGTCTACTCGGTCATTCTCAAGGCCCAATAAAACCGGTCCATTCGTCCTCTCTGGTCCCACTGCCTTCCTCTCAAATGTGAGACGTTTTGAGGTGAATGAGTCTCTGCCGTTACATCGCCGACAACAGCCTCAAACAGCGTTGCCGCTGAAGGCCCAGCATATTAGCATGTTAGCATTTAGTATGTCAGGTACACCCAGCGTGCCCCATGTACTGTTACAGCTTACGAACAGCGTGCTGGCAAGGTAGTCAATAAAATCAGTCATTAATGAAGATAGACACAACATTTTCTTTCAACTATGTCGAGGTACAACAATGTACTAATTATATCCACAACCCATAGTGATTCTTAATTGGGTTGTGCTTGAAATGCAAGCGCCAGCGCCAACCTTGGCCCGTGAACGCAACCATGTATTAACATATCATATTACGTCAGACACGCCTGCAGATCCTTCTCTGCTTCAGCTGCTGATTTAGCTGCTATCTTCTGTTCAATCTCACAGTTCATCACCTTGTGACTTTTATTTTTTACTCTGAACTCTGACTTAAAATGTAGAGAAGTAGCCTACAATACGTGTGATTCATCTGGCTTAGAATGCTACTTAAAGTAAATATATATATTTAAAAAGAATATTGTAAATGTACAAGTAGGCATACACATAAAACGACTATGTTACAATAATGAGAGTGAATTTGTTACTTCCACCCTTGTGCATTGGGAATCCCCACTAGTTCCCACGTGATCTTGGACCCCTACTGCTTATGGCAGAAAGGAGAGTGTGGGAGATACTTCTGAGAGTAAAATCAGTGAGATGACTCGACTGTTAAAGGGGTGATTTGGAAGGAAAGTTGTGCAGGTGTTAGAGGGGGTGTTTCGAATGTGGAAATGAACTAAGATTGTCTGTGTTTGTGTGTGGTTTGGAGGGTGATGAGACCAGACCAGCGTGATGGAAAGCCCAGCCGACTGCTAACACAAACACACTGCGGGGAGAGAAAGAGAAACAGAGGGTGGGGGAGGAATGAAAGAGAAGAAGAGTGTGTTATGTCAGCTTTACAACGATGACAGTTGTCATGAAGATGCTGATGTTGAGCAGTATTGGCAGGGTCAAGTGAGTGTTTACATTAGAGTCCATTATCAGGTTTGCTCAGCAGGGAACAGATCCATGTTTCGTCCTAAAGACCCCCCCCCTTGAGTGCACGACTTGGAACCTGCATTTCAGAGACGTTTCACACACTTAAAAAAACAGTGTGGTGTGTGTTTGCATCATTACCATAATTGAGAGTGACTGGTAAGAGGGCATGGACGGGGAGGTGTTGGCACTCCCCCTCCAAAAAATTCCTGTTTGACAAATTATGTGAATGAAGAGGGTAGGCGTGGCTGACCCGGCCCCATGCGGGCCCCTGACCGACAGATGTGGGTCAAACAGAGTAGATGAGGGACTTGTGTGTGTGCTTGGTGAGCTTACTGCTGTGCATTGGTTGGCAAAATCACAATCACTGTTTAGGCGTGCCAAGGAAAACATATCCACTTTATGTGGTAGACCTCTGCCGGAGACAAGCATATCCTGCCAAAGATGGTAGACTATTGTGCCTTTTGTCTTTGCGCAGATCTGTTTTCCTCCAGCTTAAAATGTTGTTTAGTGAGGTTTTGGCTCCTGCTCAGCGGAGCAGCCGGCGTGGCGAGGTTACTCCATGTCATTGGAATCTGTGCACAATGGACTCAAACCCCCTCCTCCTCCTTAGCACCAGAACCCCTCTGCAGGAGCTCTAGCTTTATTACCCCCCTCCCCTGCTCCCTTTACCCCATCATCAACACAAGGTCCCCACACACAGGAGCCCTCAGTATTAAATGGCTCCCTGTAGAAGCAATATAAACATCAGGGCGTTCACTTCAAGGCCATGGATCACATGGAATGCACCCCACCGCAACTCCTTGTAGTGAGCACGTTATGTCTCTCTTTCTTTTCTCTCTCTCTCTCCTTATTTGTCTCTCTTCCCTCCCTCTTTAACTCTCTCAGCGAGAGAGAGAGAGGACAGAGCGTCGTTGCCATGGCACCGCCTGCCTGAGTCAGCGGTTAAAACACGGTCACTCTCCGGGCTCTCCCGTGTGTGGGATGTTCAGTCAGCATGTTGGTGCGCACCGGCTGAACGCTGCGCCGGTACTCGTGTGTGTGTGTGTGTGCGTGTGTGTGTGTGTGTGGGTGCGTGCGCGTGTGTGTGTATAACACAGTTCCGCTCCGTCCCGGGATGAGACTTCGCCATCAGCTGTGAGACGAGGACCATAGTGGAAGCGCGCGGGGAAAACGTCGCACACCTGCGGCCGGATGGAAATAGATGGAGGAACAGTGCCGCTATCGCCGCACTCGATCGATTACTCCGCCTCCTCTCGTGGTCCACGGGGGAGCGCGCTCGTAAGCTGATTTAACTCCGGTTGATGTGAATACCTCTCCGGGATTAGGAGGTTATTGGGTGAACGACAATGCCCCGCGGCTCGGTCCGGCACTCCCGGCTATTGTTCGTGCGGCTGCGGACGCAAGGTGCCCGGTCTCCCCCGGTTCATCTCCAGTAGCTGCACATCCTCCTGTGCCCGCTCGCTGCTTCGCTCCGGTCCCCCCC